AAGACCGACCTGCATCTGCAGAGGCGAGTGCCGTGTGAGGTGGGTTCTATTTGTGTGGAAGGCGGTGGTGCCGTGGGCTGACTGACTCTCCAACATAATTGGGGGGGGGAGGGGAAGCATGGTAGGAAAAGGATGGGGATATGCAATGCAATGCGGATTTACATAGTGACGAAATGCAACCGCAAATAAAGTCACTGTACACAAAACAGTGGGCATGTTTACTTCTTATACAGTTACAAAGTAATATAGTCAGTCATAGCCAGAGCAACAAAGGAAAGTCTTGAGTCTACACTTGAACAGGGGCAGGTAGTGAACAGCACAGATGACCGGGGGAAAGGGAGCTTTATGGGGGGCGGGTGGGGGATAAATGTGGGGGTATAGCCAGGAATGAGGCAAAGTTGACACTGCACATTTTATAGGGAAAATAAGCACCGTACCCACGATGTGGATGAACCAAAGTCGAAGGGAAAGGACACAATGCAGCTCTGTTGACGTGTTAAGGGCGTGGGCTCAATTCCTTGGTTCGTATCACAAGTGTTTTTTTTAGTAACACTGTTTTCAACCTACGTAAACTATAGTACATTATTTCATGTGTTATGATGAGTTATACCTGAATCAGTCTTGGGCCCGCCCTTCACCAACCCACACTAACCAGCGTGGTGAAGTATGGTCAAACAGCCCCCATTGACTGACACGTTGTGGGGAGGCCTTCATCCGGCAGTGAATGGACAAACACTGGGCTTTTTTGTATCGATAGTACACTTTTCATGTACCGTATTATGGCGTATGCTTTAACAATAGATGTAATTTTAATAATGTATATTTTTATTGTTTAAATTAAGTCAATGTATTCTAGATTTGAAGTTTTCGTGACTGCAAGAATCCATACTCCTTGGTTTTTATTTCAGCAACAGTCTTCGCTGTGTTTATCAGGTGGGGACAAACACAGCGAATTCTAGATTTGAAGCTTTCGTGACTGCAAGGATTCAGACTCTTAGGTTTTTCGGTAAAGTCACGTAAAAAAACCTAAGAGTATGAATCCTTGCAGTCACGAAAGCTTCAAATCTAGAATTCGCTGTGTTTGTCCCCACCTGATGACGGACGCTTGTGTTGCGCCCGAAACGTCGTGATTTAATTTAGTTGTTTTTTCATTTAGATTTTTACCTACGTGACTTTACCGAATAAAACCAAGGAGTAAGTCAATGTGCTTCATCCTCCTTTATAATGGAGATGGGGTGTGGAATCACGCGCATTGCCCCCTTCCCTAACTTCTCGTCTTGCCAAGTGTGGAGGCACAATAGCAGATTCAGAATCTTTAGACTGGAGTAAACTGATGAGCTCTCTTTGCCTATTGTTCTGCTGGTCGCCTGGCTGCCTCATCCATTGCCCGTCGTGTCGCCCCTCTCAGGACGCCAAGACTTACGCGAAAGAGAACAGACTCATGTTTTTTGAGACGTCAGCCAAGACAGGAAACAACGTAGAGGAGGTCTTCCTTACTTTAGGTGAGTACTTGGAGCTGACGTGCCACAAACTGGCTATGGCTTCATGGTATTAGTTTGTGTTTGTTTCATTCAATGTCTGTGAAATCGGTAGATCTGCTGAGACGATGTTGAGGCCATGTGTTGTGTAAAGACTACGTGATGGATGCAGACAGGGTGATTCTGTGGAGGATGTCGGTCTTGCAGCTACCCGCCATTCGGCTGGCTTGCAACCAAACACAATTGTTGGTGCCAATTGTCGTCTCGGTCCCAGCTGGACCAACTCTCAATGTACCCGTGTAATTTACCTGTTGACAGCAGTGCAATGCTTGTGAAGATGTGAATCTGAGACATTGGATTTGACAATAAGAGGAGTGTCTGTATTTTGAGTGAGGATGAGCAGCAGTGTGAGAGCAACTCACTTTATTGACACGCTTGGTGTCTTGTGAGCTCGCATTCTTTATTTTCTCCCGTAGCCAAGAAGCTGGCGGAGAACAGCGAGGGGACGGCCAGTGGAAGCGCGAGCCGAGACCATTTGCATCGACCACCCTCCAGAGGGGGAGAACACGAGGAAGGCCTGTTGCGTATGAAGACGAAGCATTATCTGTTCTGCTTTGTACGTGGAACGCTGTACTTATACATTATCATTGTAAGACTCGTCTGGTATGCGCTGTCAGAATGTTTAGTAAGAATGCTATATAGCTCGCGATTTCTGTGGGGTGTTGTTGCTTGGCGGCTCGTACCGCCTCGAAGCTCATTTGGCCAACACTGTGGGTGAATCTGGATGGACGAGTTCAGTTTGTCTTGTTGGCCCAGCCCTTAGAATACACGTAACCCCTTCACAAACCCGGATGTTGATACAGGATCATCATTTACGGTTTCCAAAGGGTTGACGCATTTCGTCTTGACATAAAAAGCATAAATACAATTATCTGTACAACAGGAAATTCCTCACAGATGCCTTTAGAAAAAAAGTGGTTGGAAAACATTAACATTAAAATAATACCATTCTAGCAGAACATATTTTTTTTATTAACAGTGAAGTTCTTAATTACACAGATCAAGTCTTTGTTAACCACAGCTTAAAACATTTTTTCGGACAAAATGCATTTGTACCAACATGGACATGTGAAAATAGACTAATGGTAGGACTTGACACTGGCAGTTTGCAAACACCAGTACCAGGTTCATGCTGGGCATTACCAAACTTCTGTGACTTATCAAGTGGAGTTAAAAACGTACGCTAAATCTGCATTGCCCACAAGGGTATAGTGCTGTGCAATGGTGGTGCTGATCCATTGGGGGCCGAAATCAGAACGTTTCCCCTCCCCCACTTTAGATTTATAAAGTTCGTGGGATGACATAAGAGATATAGACAGGAGTTATAGATGTAGTGAAATTAGATAATTGTGGACAAAAATACGTCTCAGAAGAAAAATAGATGAGACCAATGCAGTGAAATGAGATATGTCCAAACGCCAGGTGGTGGTGGCTCTACAGGATTGTAATCCCGCAGTGGAGGCAAAGGTTGATGGATCACACACAAATGTTGTGAAACTCCCCATAGGCGTTGAGGTGCCAAAACCCTGGCTTGCCAGCAGAAGGCCGTACAACAAGTGGTCTAACCTCCATCTGTGTAGTGTCGTAGGTCTCTTCTTCTAGAGGCTTGTGTGTGTGTGGCGTGTATCGCGCACACACTCAGTCGGAGACGAGGTAGTCACAGGAGGCACCGTCCTTCCCTTTTATTGTGTTTACGCCACCAACTTCGGCCCCCTCTCTCACGACCACGCTGCCATACAACCCGGCCCAGAGATGACCCTGTCCGCGTTGCACCGACGGCGTTGACCGAGACATCCAACGACTGTCCGGTCACGCAATCATCGTGCGAAGGCGGTGACGACAGCAACGAAGAGACGAGTCCACTTCCAGAACCAACAGCCCAGGGCTCTCACTCTCCGCTGCTTTTATTCCCCTCGGCGCGGCTTGGCTCCGCCCTAGCCACGCCTCCCTTCTCGAACCCACCAGAGGGTTCCAGGGGCCTCCCCACGAGGTCTACCGTGACCCTTGACCCAGTTCCTCCGCCCTGCCGACACACACCACGTGTGTATGCTCAACGGCGTGTGAGCTGACAACCTGCAGTTGCAGCTGCTGTACAACAGTCAGCGCTGAGTCACTACATCTGTAAGGAGATCGGTGTTGCCCACTCGCGTGCTTGGTTTTTATTCGGGTGCTTCGGTTTCCCCCCACACGTAAAAACACTCACGAATTGGGTGACGATATCTTAAAATAAAAAGCTAATGCAGGACATCTGATAAATCTTAGGACTCAGGCTCTCCTGGATAAATGATTACGAGACAAATATGGCGCAATACGAGATAAAATACAAGGATATAACTCGTCGACATTCGGTTCACCCATAATTTTTCATGAATTGTGGGTCCCCTTGAGCTTTTTGGGGTTATACCTTTTTTGTTTGCTTGTGCTTAGCGCCACCCAGTGGTGATTGTGAACCTATTGGTTTTACAAGTGCAATAACAATGTCAAGACTTTGGATTGGGTAGGTCATTGGTTCACTGGCGAGAACGTAAACGTTACCCAGGGTTTTAATTTAAGAACATTGCTACCGGAGCAATAACAATTTGATACCACGTTCTACTCCACAATTTAGTTTTAATTTACAACCCTTTGGGAATTAAAATTTACCATACTGTACTGGATTTCACCCGCTTTTTAATACAGCAATGTAACATTGTTTGAAGTTAAAGCTGCGGGATATAGTCGAACATTCGACTTGTTTATGCATTCTTTACAGTATTCTATACATATATTACTATACCTAAAGGGAGCTAACATTGTTTTTATATCATTAAGTAACTTTTTGGGTAGAGTCAACATTATGCAAATGATTTATGCATTAAATGCAAATAATGTGTTAAAATGTTATTCTACACGTTTATGAATGTGACTAGCATGAAATATATTTGGAGCAACATTCTCTATACTGTATTCCTTTAACACTCATTTACCCATCAATACTTGTAGTTCACATTTGAATAAACATTGACTTTATAGTGATCCGACTTTACTAGATTGTACCAAATGGTTGGCAAGGCAATCTGGGTTAAATAAGGTTCTCTAAAATCCCAGTATTACAAGCTGAGCGTGTGGTCAACGATAGAACATTTTTACAAAAGCATTTATTCTACCAGAAAATGTGGACACCACAAAGGGATGTTTGCAGAATGTCAGGTTAAACTGTACATTAATTGGAGTTAAGATGCTGTGGCTTGTTTATCCAGTTTTCACCTTTGGTTACTGCTCGTCCATTTTTCACCATTGGACATTTGAGCATCAAAGAGCATGTTCAAAATTTGAACATGCAATTAACTGACCAACTGGGTACCAAGATAGATATGTAATGGATGGCTTTGCGCAGCTATGTAACGTTTTAGTACCTATAGTACAATTGGTGTTCGTTTAATTTCCAAAACCCAAACTTGAAAAATCACAATTCAGTCATCATTGTGTTTTAGGATCAGCATTTATTAACACAGAAGGTAAAAACAACGAAATGTGGATAGCACGGCTCCAAAGACGATGTCGAGTGTAGTGGCCGCTTCTGGTTGGTGTCCTGGTGGCAGAACGTGCGGCAGGGCTGAGATGAGCGACGTCCGCAGGGGACAGGAGATGGCCCCGTCTCACGGACAGCAGAGGCCCGCTCACTTGGACCTCTGACGCATCTTCCTCCTCTTTCGCTTCAGCCTAAACCAAGCGTGTGGGGCCAGACCATGGATGAATAACAGGCACATTTAACCCAGCAACATAAGCCATACCCCACACAAACACTGCAACACCTCAAACGCTCTCATGAACATACAACTGCACAGCATTTCAATGTAAAATACTGTACAGCATAGCCAACCCAGGCATGTGTTAATTATTCTTAAAGGGCATATTCCAAAAGCATCATACACACGTATAAGTTATTGTTTTCATATACATATTACATGTGTGCATAATATACTAATTTGTACAAACGAGTTGTTTAGCAGACTGCATGTTGTTCACAATAGGGTGATGGTAGCAAGTGCAATGCAGTCACGGTCTCACCTGCGCATACGCTTCTTACGCCACTGTTGGGGAGACAACACGCCACGTGATTAACGATTGGGCAGACATTTAAACATCAAGTTTATTTTCAACTTTAAAGCTGTAAAAGCCATCTTCCCTCCCCAAACCAGCCCGAGTTAACATAAGCACACAACAGTCCCCATAACATTCTAGATTTGAAACTTTCGTGACTGCAAGGATTCATACGCTTAGGTTTTTTCGGTAAAGTCACGTAGGTAAAGAAATAAATAATAAAAATAGAAATAAAATAATTTACCCTGCACCATAAGCCATACCACACAAACTAATAATAACAAACTAATAATTCTTTTATTTCTATTATTTTTTTTACCTCCGTGACTTTACCGAAAAAACCTAAGAGTATATAGTCCCTATAACAGGCAAGCAAAGTCGCATTCGCTCAACAGGGTACGCACAAGTAACTTCTGCTGGAAAAACAACAATCGATTAGACTCATGGGTTGGTTCAAAACGTGCAAAAAATTGTGCCCTGGATAAAACGTGATATCCCACACGTAATGTAAACACGTACAGCCCCGTTACAAATCCACTGCTGGATGATGATCATCTCCCCACGCCATGCTAATCCTGGATACTGGATGGTCAACGAACCCCTCCCGTGGGCACATGCTAGACAATGCCCTCTGCTGCCCATCATAACGTGGCTTTGCAGAAGGCTACAAAACACGAGTTTCACGCAATGGTCGCCCATCCATGCCAACACAATCCAGGCTCCAAAAAATATAAACCTGCTTAGCTTTCGATTTAAAGCTTTCGTGACTGCAGGGATTCATCTTCTTGGTTCTTTCGGTAAAGTCACGTAGAAGGGAAATAATAAAATAATACAAATATAAAATACTTTATTTAAAAAACGTCGCCCGTTCACATAATCCACCCAATAAAATGCAAGCCACCTACTAAAGCGAAATGTAAACCAGCCACTCAAGACGGTGCATAACTATTGCTATTAAATCCCATGTACAATCATTAAAATTGTGTAGCTCATCACTTTGTTATCCGGACACACCCCAAATAATCCTTTTTTTTTTAAGAGAGCATTACCGGAGCATTCGTGAATTAACCCACTTCGCGTGGATATAGTTGCATAAGCATATGTTTAACAAAACCATAACGTGAAAAGAGAAACAGCGGCGGTGTCGCTGCGACACGAGGGGCATGGCACCCACGATACACGAACGCTCGCAGACACCACACGGTACCTTGGCCCTCATGCCGTCAAGCCGCTCCTGCGCACGCACAAAAAAAACACGCGGCCGACAAGAGAGAACGGATTAGACGTCGGTAGTATACAATTCACGGTTTTAAATCGCGTTAATAGCGGCGGATGGAAGTGGATTGAGGTGCACTCCGCACACGAGAGCGGAACGGGGACCCACCTCGAGGGACGAACACGATGCGCAACGAGGGAGTAGCGGAAGTGGCGATCACGTGACCGAGGCGACGGTGATGTCACGAGCCCCGCCCCCTCCCCCCGTGGTAGGCGGGGCCTCCTCCTGGTACCCCGCACAAACCCCGCCCCCTCCCCCCGTGGTAGGCGGGGCCTCCTCCTGGTACCCCGCACAAACCCCGCCCCTCCCCCCATGGTAGGCGGGGCCTCCTCCTGGTAACCCGCACAAACCCCGCCCCCTCCCCCCTGGTAGGCGGGGTCTCCTCCAGGTAACCCGCACAAACCCCGCCCCCTCCCCCCGTGGTAGGCGGGGTCTCCTCCTGGTACACCGCACAAACCCCGCCCCCTCCCCCCTGGTAGGCGGGGTCTCCTCCTGGTAACCCGCACAAACCCCGCCCCCTGATGGTCATGCAAGACTCCCCTACTTACGAACGAGTTCGGTTCCAGAGGTCTGTTCGTAAGTCGATTTGTTCGTAAGTTCAACTTTACTCCTGTCGATTCCAAACGCATTGGTACGGCATGTACACTAAAGACGGGCGACGACTTAAAAGTTATAGTCTCATGTAGCTGCCACTGGCTGTTCACGTTTTGCAGATGTAGATGCCACCACCGCCTTCTATTGCGCGGTGGTTGAAATTACAACTTTCGGTTTGGTTCGTAAGTAGATGAGTCCCTGTATAATACCGTACATACAATGTCCGCATACTATGTGATTGCTGGGTTTGGGTTGCAAGGATTAATCGATAACAGTTTATTACAATTGTTGAGTCTGTATGTGTATAATCAAGTGGATCTATCATTTTCCATTGATGAGTTTATATTTTAATACTAGTAGAGTATTCCTACCATTGGCAATTCAAATGGCATGAGGATCGTGTTGGGCACTGTCGTCATTGGGCTCATACAATCAATGACGTGCCTCTGCTGCAGTATTGGTCGTGATGTTGGCACTGATGGTGGCGGTTAATTGCTGATGGAATGATTTTTAACTTGGGCTGTAGCCACACTTGCCCAGAAGATGTACAAGTACGGTATGGTTTGGCCTTCACGTTTAAATATTTGAAGAGTAACTGATCCCACCAATGCCCACGTTGGGTGCAATCCAAGATTTGATTTATATAATCTAAATGCAGGCGCATTTAAAGACACTGTGCAAAAGTGCAACGTGTATTTGGCTGGCATCGGACTAGACAGGGAGTTGTAAGCACCAATAGCAGATGAGATGGGGCAGAAGGGATGTCCTGTTTTTTATAGTGGCTTTTTGGCATTAGTCCAAGTGAACGGACCTTAACATTCAAAGGTCGAAACGCCAATGCACTAACTCTGGATATTACCCTCCATTATTATAGCCCAGTGTACCCCATTAGAACTGCATAACTTTCAATTACCCTAATCTCCAATGCAACTCCTGAATTTGTAACATTTAAAAAAAACTTTTTCATCAACCCTTCCTCAATCTGCTTATGGACAACAGCCTCCATGTCAAACTATGCATGTCGTTTGAAACGAAGCATTTGCAGTTTAAAATTGGTTTGGAAAAAGTCGGTTTCAAAAATGAATAACGGTTTTTGGTGTTTTTCATCAATATTTTATACCCAAATGCAGATTTCTTAGCCCATCTTTAAATGCCCTTGCAAACGTACTGAAAGCACTTTAACACATGCATCAGCCTATAAAAACCATTTAAAGGTCCATCAGTTGAAATATGCAGGCGACACGTTGCACCACGTGACTGCAATAACCTTACTATTGAAGACCAAAGTGGAATATCTAGGTTCGTCACTGCAGTAAAAAACATTCCAAAAAATCATTGAGACATCCTTGAAAACAGGTACACTGGTCTTCACATCATGCAGTCGAGAGTGGGTTGTACAATCTAAACGTTAAATCCATTTTTTATGCTTTTGAAAACGTTTGTAAAGCTTATCCAACCGTAACCGACTAAATTGTGGAATTGCAGTGCATTGTTCGTGTAATGCTTCCATCACAAGATAAAGTTAATCCAGAAAAACAGTTGACCAGCTTTTATTGGCAACTATATATCACACAGGAGTCATAACATGGATAGTCCAAGGCAAAGGGAGGGTGGGGTGTTGCCCGGGAGTGTTGGGATTGTTGCTCTGAAACATCAAGCAGAATGGTGGACGTCCTCCACTGATGCTCAGAGGACGATGGACAGAGCCCCACACGGCGAGCGCTTGGGCAGCCCTTGGCAGTGGGAAGACCTCGGGCAGCTTGGCTCATCCTCGGCTCATCACGCCCAGCGCCGCCCCAAGCCTTGGGCTCCGTGGTCGGACAGCGTGTGGCGAAGAATTGGCAGGTTACTTGGACCTCTGCCTCATCTTCCTCCTTTTACGCTTCAGCCTGTTGTCACCAGGAGACGAGGACCAAAATGTGTCAACAGCATAGCAGTTTAATTCACGCTCTCAATATAATTTTCGTTTTTCTCGATCACAGGAAACGTTACTGTAACGTATGCAAACTGCGTTACCACTTCTGAGGGCAAATCTTCCATAACACAAATCACGAACAGCATTTTTCACAAATGCTCAATCTCACACTTTCATTTTATTCAGTAATTTCTTTCAACGTTCACGTCATAATTTATGGATCCAAGCTGGTTAAATTTTGTATTTTTGGGTCGGTGAAATATCGAGCGTGGCCAAAGCCACTCGTCTACAACGCAATGCGGAGTTTGAAAAACATTCTCACCTGCGCATGCGCTTCTTTCGCCACTGCAAAGAGAAAATATTGTTAACACGGATAAATATGTTTTGTATACCGGTCATTAAGCTTGTGAATGCCCCATGTCAACAGCCATTACCGGGACAGCATTGTTAACGTCAACATTGGACTTTGCGTTTGCAATTGGGATATACAGTACATACAATTAACTTGCGACTGGCGTACACAGCGATACATATGCAACACGCATCCGCACAACTATTGAACGAACATTACGCACATTAAAAGCCTATCATGTAACAATCATTACCCAGCGTACCATCCTCCTATTCTGCTACTGTAACTCGCGCATGTCTAAGAGGTATTGTATTCCTTTAGTCTGGGCGCTTCAAACGTTACCGGCCACAACACAACTTTGGGAGGCTCCCGTACACACAAAAACACAATTGAAGACAATCCCATTAAAAGACGTAAAAGTCCGTGTTAACAATGAAGCCCTCCCTGCCCAGACAAGCGTGTTGACCAGACACGGCTGCCAATTGGTCCGCTCCGCACACGTGGTCTGTTCCAGAGCCAATCAGCAATCGTTATTTTAAGGCCCAGCGTTAACCTTCCACTGCGTCGTAGACGCGAGCAGGATTTATGCGCAATTAAAAATACGACCGCCGCTACCAATACGTTTAAAAGTTGTCCACAACGATACGGCACAATTTACCCACACAAATACAATGTTCTAGATTGCAACAATAAAAAATAAGACTGTCGGCACACTGTGGCCTTGCTGGGTAGGCGCCGTCTAAGACGAGCGACGCACGAATGCGTTCCACGTTTACCTTGGCCCGCATCTTGCCAAGTTGGTCCTGCGAACGCAAACGAGGAGAGAATTAGTGTTTGTGAAGCAGGATTTAAAACTTTCGCGACATTCGCACAAGGATTTAAGGATGGATGGATGCGGATTGCGTAGCCGCTCCACAGCGTTTCCACGAACCTGGCGACGACAGCGACCAAACGAAAGGGATTGTGGGAAGGCGACGCGGCGTTTATATAGGCAGCGGTGACGCGTTTTGTGGGCGTGGTTATAGATAGCGGTGCCAGATCAGAGGAGAAATACATTTACTTATAATAGGTAATAACCTCTAGGTTTTCGTTGCGTATGCGGTGTCCCCCACCCCACAGCATATTCCATTTGTACTCTAATCTCAAAGCAGATTCACATTTAATCACCATCTACTTCCATTTGCAGTCTCCACTCACGGTCTTTGTAGTTCTTTTCACAGTAGTTTGAGTTTTTTTACATTTGAGAGCCAAAAACGCATTTATGGAATTGCTCAACACTCAAATGTATAAGCCTCTTGTAATCCTTTCCCGTGTAGATATAGGATATTGTCATGGTCCAAATTTGAAAATTGGCCGCCAATTTTAAATAATAAGCTATAGTTTACATATTAATCATCGCCCCTACTGCAAAAAGCTTTGCGGAATCATTCTGAAAAAGCAACGAGAATCATTGAGGCATTTCTGGGTATAGATAATAATAACAACCAATTGTTTGTATTTTTGCATTCAATTCAATTTAAATGTTGGTGACATTGTGGCGCAGTGTTGGCACTTGCAACTCACAGCAAGAAACTCCTGGGTTCGACTCCTGACTCGTGTGTCTCCTTTCTCTGAGAAGTTTAAATGCCCTCCCCCCCCTGTCCTGCAGAGTGAGTGTCGATATACGTGTCGAGTTTGTACTGTATGTTCTCCCCCTCTTCTTGGTTCTGTCGGTAAAGTCACGTAGAAGGGAAGTAATACAATAATAAAAATTAAACATAATAAAATGATTCTCACGACGTTTCGGCCACAACGCAAGCAGCCGTCCTCAGGTGAAGACCAGGTCTGTCGAGGCGACCTGAGGACGGCTGCTTGCGTTGTGGCCGAAACGTCGTGAGAATAATTTTATTATGTTTAATTCTTCTACGTGACTTTACCGAAAGAACCAAGAAGATGAATCCCTGCAGTCACGAAAGCTTTGTTCTCCCCCTATTCGAGAAAGGCTTTTATACGTGTTCTCAGGTTTCCTCCAGAACTAAGAATGAAATAACGTGTCACTGATATCGGTCAAATTTGCCAATGTTGCCACATTAGTTGAACACGTAGGCTTTCGCGACCAATATCATCCAGAATATCGGTTTTTAGGGTTTGATGGCGTAATATTAATCAGAATATTGCATGAATATACGCGATCTAACCCCCAAAAACCTGTACTGTGGCTGACACATTACCTGCACATCACTCAAATGGGATGACAGTCCCACTACGAACACTTGGCAGGACCCTCCTGACAAAAGTGTCATGAGACTCAATGATGTTTTCCTGGAGTTTAACAACATCACAATAGGTATATTTATACCGGAGGAATCCGATGAAGTTACACAGCTCTTTTTCACAGATGCAATGATAACACTGTGTTATTTAAAAAAAATGTTCCTGGGTAGTAAGTGTTATTTTCCAATTGCTTATGCCTCAAAAGTACATACAATTACCATTATTCCCCACAAACTTTGCCTTTGTGATCAGGACAGTGATATTTAGAAATTTACCTAATTTCAATGAGAAAACCGGTGCATTTGTGTCATTCCTTCACGCAAAGTCCTGGTCACAAAAGCAAAGCTTGTGGGGAATAATAGCCATGTTATATACTTTTGAAGCATAAGCAATAAGAAAAGAACACTTACTACCCAGGAACAAAAATCGTGTTACATAGTGTAATAAAGAACCATAGTGCAGGGCCAAAACATGGCTTTACCGCCCACCACACAGTCCAACGTTTCGGCCACATGAGGGCCTTCGAATTTCGCTGCCACCCAGCCCACTGCCCCTCCTGTTAACCTGAGTGACTTTGCAGGAATCGATTATCGATTAGCGCAATATACAACACCACGTGCAAGAATCGCCGAATCGATTCGCACCCGGAAAACCGTTGGGGGAAAACGTCGCACGAGTTGGACGCCTTAACAGCGGCGGTAACACGATCGTGTAGGCAGGTGGTGTTGTTGTTGTTATTTGAGATATTAACGGTGTGTTGTTGTGTTGGGATGTCGTGGGGTCCCGTGCTACTGCAGGCGAGCTTCCTGCTGCTGCTGGCTCTGGGCATTTGGGATGTGCTGCTCGGATTCCAGGAGAACGAATGCACAATGACCTACATGTTCCAGTACCCGGAGTATATTGACGTGGTGAGTGACACATGGATCTCTCCTCTCCTTGTTTGTCTCGTGTGTCTTCTCTCGCAGGAATTCAAGTGATTCTATTGCTGTCCTGTACGCATTTGATCAGAATCACCCGGAATGGGACGGATCCCGAAAGCGAGAAGCAGATTTTGAGTTTTTCCTGGATTTTTCTGTTTGCGCGTAGTCACTTCAAGATGTTTTCTTGTTCATGTTTTTTGTTGCGGTTGCACCCGATTCAAGAGCCGAATGGCTCACAGGGCTACACCAAATAAATGAAACTGGAAAAAAAACAGAGCCCAGACATCGTGTCGCCATCATGACCGTGCATAGCAGGTGCCATAGGCTGCCGCGAGGCTACGTTGTGGGCAGTAGAGAGCAGTGAAGGAAAAATCTCTTCTGTACTTCAGCGTTTTAAACTCACCAGCGTGGTGAAGTGTGGTCAAATAACCTCCAGGGCCTGCAAGTCGTTGGGAGGTCCTTTGTCAAGCGGTGAATTGACAAAGGCAGCAGCACAACACGATCATATATGATGTACAAGCCGTGTAGGAATTGCAACCTCTAAATGTCCAATTAATTTATGTAAGTGTCCCGTTTCCAAAAAAAAATAGTCTTTTTACGTACGCTATTGTACGCATGTTCACATTCATTGTTGTTTTGATCATTGTGTCCCTGCGCTCTCCGGCCATTAGGTACTGCTTCGGAAATTTTGCGGATTCATCATCCGTTCGGGGTCGAAAAGATGGGCACTGAAGTCAATCGTAGTCATTCTTTCGGGGAGACTGGTGACGGTAATGTCACCAAAATATATACCACGTTAAATGCGATTACCGTATTATTCAATGTGGCTAAAGTCCAATTATGAGACAAATATTACTCGGTGGCAGAGTTGGTTGGGAAAGTGCTGCCCCCCTATTTTGTGGAATAGAAGTTCACTTGAAGTGATCTCAGAGGTAGCTCTTTGATATCTGCTTCCGTGGGCTGTTCTTTAACACAAAGTGTTGCACTCCTATGAAAGAAATCTCAATGGATACTTTGATTATTTAACACCGATAGTACATTCGCATTAAAATTAAATTTATAAAAAATGGAAAATAAGTACAGACGATAGTGTTGTGCGCTGTGCCATGATGTGTGCTGTATCCACCTTGTATAGAAGCCAGCTGTGCGGCCTCCACTGCCGCACAGGCGCTCTGGGTACGATCTCTTTGTGTACGGAGAGGGCCCGTATGCTGAAGCCCTTCAGAGCCTGCGGCCCGATGGCATTCCCGTGCTCTTCCTCCCCGGCAACGCTGGCAGCCATCGCCAGGGTGGGTGCTGCACATTCATCCCCTCGTCACCTCTACAAGCGCTGTCGGACAGCGGTGGTGCTCCTATATGTGATGACAGTGTGGGTAACTGTCTTCTGTTGAACATGTGGTGGCTGCTGTTTCATATGGAACATGCTTTGGCCCTGGCTGTTGAAGGTTTGAACTATGATGTTGAAGTAACTTTCCAATGAGTGTGGTTATTCTTCCAGGCTATTACATTTCGGGGCTGTCATTGGGAATACTGCTGGGTGGTGCTGTGGTCAGAGCACTCAACTCCCAATAAGAAGATTTCAGGTTAAATTCCCAGCCAGGGGTCAACTTGGCCATTTGTATTATATGGGGAACAATTTTAATAACCTAGGGAGAGACTGGCCATCACCATAGTTGTATGAAATTTTCATGACTACTTCAGGGTCCATAGTGGAAATGAGGACTGCTCAATGGTTGCTTGAGCTGAGATACATTTAACTGCTTTTTCATTTTGGGAACAGCTCTGCCATGTTTTGAACCTAATTCAAATATAGCCCAGAGCATTATGCAGTACTTTTTTGACGAGGAGGCCCTTGAGGCCGCCTGTATTTTTTCCAATGTGTAATAAAAGACTCTTTCTCATATGTCGATCTCCGTTGTCCTTTATTGGGTTCGTAGAATCTCGTTACCACGGCGTCCTCGCTCAGGGCCGCGTCTCTCCCGACGATCACTCCACAGCCACTCTGCTGCTCCGATATGCAGTCTCCCTGCTGCTCCGATATGCAGTCTCCCTGCTGCTCCGCCTTGCAGCCACACCGCTGCTCCGCTCTCCAGCTTCACTGCTGCCCCGTACACAGCTAGCCTCCCACAGCCCGCTAGCTCTCTGCGTCTGACACCGATGGCTGACGATGTCGACGTCTCTCACCGCGTGGCAACCGCGCCACTCTCCCCGTACTGCCCAGCGTGGCCTCCTCCCGTTTCACTCCGTCTCCACTCCCTGTTCCCCTTCCGGTTCTCTCCCTAAATCCTCTCTCCCACGTGATCCTGACTCCTCCCTCTCCCCACGTGACCCAGACTCCGCCCCCCCTCAATCCTTGCTCACATTACAAATGTAGGAGATGTGCCCTGTGCCTCTTGTTCCACTCTTGTAAACCTATCGGGCCAGATTTGTATCTTGACAAAACTGCTGAAACCCATCGTCGCTGGTATGTACGTTGAACTTCTTTTGCACCGTACGTAGCCAACTGTGCTAAGCGGCGGAGCGTGGGAAGGGCAACACACTAAACATAAAAAGCATTTCTAAAGAAATTAGTTTTCAACTTAGATTTCAAAGTGCATAGGTCCAGTGGCTTCCTAATATCAGAAATTTCCAGATGGCCGCAGAAGCGCATCTGAAAGCGAGCGATGGTCATGTAGACATCAGCACATTTTTGCCCAAGATATTTCCAACAAGGATATTTCGCCAAACAGGTGAATTCCATTCGGCGATTTTTTTTTTTTGGAGCACTTACGCTGTGCTTTGTTTGCAGTGCGGTCGCTGGCGTCGGTGGCGCTGCGGAAGGCGGAGGATCTGCGCGGCGTGCGCTTCCACCTGGACGTGTACTCGGTGAGCTACAACGAGGAGCTGGCGGCGCTGTACGGAGGCGTACTGGAGCGGCAGGTGCACTTTGCCACGCGCTGCGTCCACGCCGTTCTCTCCCTCTACAAGGTGAGCCACGAGTCATCGCCTTGATCTTGTGATCTCTCGCTCTGATCTTGTGGTTTTTGACGGGTAAAATAGAACAATGGATGGTCTGTCATTTGTCGCTTGCGTACATTTCACCACAGTTTCTGGTTCTATACGCATTTATCTTGTGACTTATTTTGAGCATTGTTAATAATATGTAATTGTAAAATTTTCGATTTTTCATTAAATATGTGCTTTAAAAATGTTTGCTGCATTCTTTAGTGTAATTTATTACATCTTGAGACAATTTTTTTCATGTAGGAGCACACATCCAATTTTATATAATAGAAGTCATTGGGAAAGTTGGGTTTGAAATACAGAATTTTGCTTCATGGACAACTTTTCAGGAACGTATCTGTTCCGTACAACGAGGGATGCCCGTTTTTAGCACCGAAGCCATAAACGCTCATTCTTATACCGCTGCGCCGTGCCCCCAGCACCAGGGGGAGGGCCGGCCACGCAGTGTGGTGCTGGTGGGCCACTCGATGGGCGGTGTGGTGGCTCGCGCCGTGCTGGCCGACCCGGCGTTCGATGCGTCGCTCGTGACGGTGCTCATTACGCAGGCCACGCCGCACGTCGCCCCTGTGCTCTCGCTGGACCCGTTGCTCACAGGTGCCGCGGCTACTACGTGCCCACATACACCAATTAACACCCTGCCTATCATAATAAAAAGGCAAGGTCTCTCTATACCTACGGGCCGGTTACAGCCTGCGTCTTCATTTAATTCTAGCCACATGAGACTTACCACTTTTAACGACTCTACAAATCAAATTGGTCACTTCTGTATTTATGTTGAACTTATTTTGCACCGTACGTAGCCAACCATGCTATTCGGAGGTGCGATTAGCATGGTTGTATGCACGTCACCTGTTTTTTTTAAGTAGTTCTGATCATGCAAATAATCCATACAAATCTAGTGTGATCAGAGATTAGTGTCAAGTGTTAACTAATTGGTGGCCTGGAAAAAATATTTTAAAATCCTATTCAGTCCTTAGCAAGGAAAAGGTTCCCCATCCCTGCTGTCTGGTAACTGGAACTGAAGATTGTGAAAAGCTCCCTGACCGTCAGACAACAAGTGATATTGTCCAAATACACTGGAGAGCTGTAGTTGTGGGCTTTATCCTGTGAGTTTCGTGTATGAAGAGATTTGGCATATGGTCATCACAAACCTTCCACGCAACATGTTCCCCGTGCTCAGCCGACACAATCTTTGTTTGATCCATCGCCACACTTTCCCGCAGACTTCCACAAGCAGGTGAACACACGCTGGGCGGAGCGGGCCCACGACCTTGGCCACGTGGCGGTGCTGTCGGTGGGGGGTGCCCACCGAGACCCCCAGGTCCGCGCCGGCCTCACCTCCCTGAGCGGCCTGGCCGACGAACACAACACCATCTCCGTCACGGTACGCGAGCAATGCGATGAATGATCATAGTTTGGGATCATGATTCAATTTGAGTCGATTTTACTTATCTCATTATTTTCTTAAAAATATTGTCTCAATACAAAGTTTTTCACTCCATCCAAATTAAAGATTAGCTGTATGCCTGTTACCAAACTTAATATAAGTTGCATACATTGTAAATAATTGATGTTCACATACACAATTCGACGCTTGTATGTTTGAGCGCAGAAATCGCTATTAATTCGACAAATGAATGCACCGATGAAAATAATAATTTACTACATTTGTTTTTGGTGCCATTATTATTGCATAAAAAATATTACGAAGGTGCAGTTTCACATACCTAGTCTGTAGTAGTTTCAGAGTAGGGGGCGATGGAGCAATGTCTTATCCTAATTGAGTAATTTGCAGGTAATTTTTCAAATTTTCCAATTGTGGACCATGATGCAGGCACACTCATTTCTAATAATGTCACGGGATCTTTAGTGTGCGCTTGAAGAGGACGGTACATCATTTATGGTTAATACACCTGCGGTAATAACCAGAGTAGCCTGTCGGATTTAAACCGCAAGCCGACTGCTGGGCCATGTCACCACATTTTCTACCATGTGCAAAGAGATAAGTTTTGTTATTTGAGGTTTTGTTGGTTTTCTAAAGCGATAAGTAGATCAAAGGGGTGGAGCTGTGGTGATGTGGTTCATGCACTGCACTGTGAACCTGGCTACCTGAGTGATATTTGAACCTTTCCTGGGCCCTCTCTTCAACCCACACAAAAAAAATTGCCATAACCAACACGACATGGGAAGGCATTCATTCACTAGCTGATTGACAAAGGGCTGCAAATTATGATTATTATTAAAATCTAAAGAGCTTGTTTTTCATAAACATGTTCTGCATTTGAATTACACCCATGTACCCCTAGGCCATGGCGGTACCAAAGACATGGATTAGCACAGATCACCAAGCCATCGTTTGGTAAGTATGGTTTTGGCCACATCAATAATTAACAGGGGTTACTGTTTGCAGGATTATTCAACTTGTGGTGGGCACAGAGTTATCTGAGTTGTCCTTGGGACCACATTGCAACTGATTTTTTTCTGTTATTTGCTTTTTTGGAAACTTGCAAAATATAAATGGCAATATTGGTCGATTAAAAGACCTTCACTATAGCTTTTTTTTACACCCTGTTTATATTCCATCTGTTCTATTGGCATCCTGTAATGAGACAGAAACATTTATTTGGAACTCTGCAGTTTCTGGAAGAACGGCCCCAGAAGATGACGTCACAGACGTACATTTAAAGTGGCTAAAATAAGCCTCTTTATGCACACTTGGGGTACACCTTTCCAGTGCTCTAGGTAAAAGTAATGTCTTCGCAGGTGTAAGGAGCTGGTTCTGGCCACAGTACGGGCTCTTTTTGACATGGTGGATTCCAAAACCAGGCAAGTAAGTACCTTTGGTCAAACGTGGACTCACGTACAATGGAAGACACATTGTGGTCTGCTTGGTTGACACTGCCTGTGCTTGTTATACAGTGAGTAAATACATATATAATTTGCTGAATGCATGCATAAATGAGTCAGATATTTATCCTGCAAATGTAATCCCTGGTTAAACTCGCTATCATCTCATAAGCAGAGAACAATGGGCAAGAAGTGTTGTCGTCCAATCGGTTGACATTCCTTTTGCATGTTATAAAATAACAAAAAACGTACATTTGAATTAATGTTTACGTATATTAGTAAGATAACTTTGGTGGAGCACCATATTCTTGGTTAAACTCCTTTTTTCTATCTTAAGCGCAGAACCTTATCCGAATGTTTCTTCGCAGCAGCTTATTCTTTGTGTGTTGACTCCTGAATTCTGCGTCTGCCACTGAATTCACGAGCTGCGCTTTTACCCAATGGACCGGTTGTGCTCCTTGTTGTTGTTCTCACTCATTGCCGTGACAACCTTCTCCAGATTACAGATGATGCTGAGAAGAGGTTGGCCATACTGAGGCATCACTTTGTGCAGCACCCCGGACTCGGCTTCTCCCACGAGCGACGGCCCGCGGCATCTTTTCAAGGTGCGTGGGCGGCTTACGATTGACATTTGGGTGGGGAGGGTGTCCTGAAAGAACTCGAAAATCCACGTTTTTATTTATTTGAAGTAACCTATCCTGGTGAGATTGAAATGTTTGATAATTTAATCCACGTCGGTAAGTTTTAATTGACCTTCCCCACACCTAATAATTTGTCCTTTCCCCGCACCTCCGATTAGCAAGGTTGGCTACGTACGGTGCAAAAGAAGTTCAACATACATACAATTGCATGGCTGCACAATTAATATAATAATTCACTCACTTAGTCCACGTAATCCACTCGTGACATTGATCGAACATGAATTAAACTTTACTGTAAGGTTGTGGTGCTATTAGGGACTTGAAAATAAGAAACATTTATCAAAGGGTTTCCCAAAAGTTGAATATAAAGCATGCAAACATAACTATTAGCAAATATGCAAATGCATTGGCCCAAACAGCTACCCCATTGACTTCCATATTGGACAAACGCACGTTGGAAAGCATCACAGGATCCATGCATATGCATGATTGATCGTCGTTTATATAATTGTATATGTGTTTTTATTTCCTTTCAGCCAGGGCCTCATGGGTTTTTGTGCAGGAGCCACACTGGACTTTACAAAAAACCAAGGTAATGCAAGGGGCAGTCAGAAATGAATCATGTTGCAAATTGTAAAACATATACAGCTCATCCTTTGTCACTGCCAAAGATGCTTGCCATGTCGGCTTTTAAAAGCTTAGCTCCACAAGTAGGTGCTCTGACACTGTAAGTCATTAATGAGGCTTCTTTTAAACGACACATTTACCTGCATAAAACAGCACATTTTATTGTTAACCGATGGGCTTTAAGGCAAAAATGTATATAATGCATAAATAATGTTGCTTGAATATATGGCTAGAGTAGTGCTGTATGTTGTTTTGTCGATCACATTTGTCTGTGCTAATGCGCTCTGTGTTCCATCCTCTTAGGGCTATAAAACAACATATTTCGCTTTCCCCAGGCTGTCAGATGTTTACAGCCATCTTTACTGTCGAAGTCACAACTTGGTAAGTATTGTGGTTTTGTTATGAACAACATTTACGGAAAAATGTACGTTGAACTTCTTTCACTGATACGAGTATGAGTGAAGTGGGGCGATGAGATCGGTTCACGTGCAGGAGTGAGATGAATTGGACCGTCGCAGGACTGCGAGCGAATGGTGATGGCGTGGGGAGGCCTTTATCCAGCAGTGAATAGACTTTGGCCGATGGAGATGCTTAGCTACATGGAATAATACAAAGAACGATGTTTTTTTTCCTTCTGCAGGACTCTACCAGCTGGCTATTCGGATGCACAGTGCACAACGAGACGTCCTGGTAAGACATCGGTGAAAGGAGTGAAATCTGAACAGATTGTGGCACACAAGTGATCCATTACTTTGAACGCGAGGGCTGTTGAGCCAGACCTGCCGAGCTGTGAGATGGCCAAGCGATGGCAGCGCAGCAAGTGGGTTCTTGAAAGCATCTCTAAAGAATATTGAATGCTATCTCCTCTTACGCCTGGATGTTCTTACCCCGGTTTCCTCCCACTTGCGATAAACTCCTATCAAAAGGAATTGGCCAAACGTCCCAAAGCACAGGACCCTTTTGAAAAAGTTTTGAGAATCATTGATGCTTCCGTGGATAAATGAATGATGGTGATAGACAATGGCTAAGTATATATATTGTTATTACATACAGTTTTTGCGAATAGAGCAAAACCACTGATCCACATATTTAAAAAAGTAATTTCCCAAATTTTGAACATCTGTGTCGCCAACGTCGCGGTTTTATCGCTGGGTTTTCCTCGCAATTAAATATGAAGACTTAGAAGTGATTCCAGGTCTCTATTCGCAATCCTGTATTGTTTACAATGCGTAATACTTTATGCATTGTCTCGTGACATAATGGATTACTTCAGAAGGTCTATGTAGTGATGTCCAGTGCCTTGGTGAGGTTCGTTTGTGGGGGACTTTCCAATTTAAGGAGTTGGCAACACTGACGAACATCGCGTACAGGGGATACTGCTGGGGTTTGGGGCACTGGTGGTGTGAGGCCGTGCTGGCCAGGACTTATCGTCAGTGTCATTGTGTTTGCAGCACGGAGGGTGTGGACCTGTCCTGGGAGGCAGAGCTGCTGCCCTCGCTTAAGGCAAGAAACATTTTTTCACAGGAAACATTTTTGTCTCGTTTGCATGTTTGCAGAAACCCCAAAGCAAGGGTGAGGAACCTCACACCCGTGGGCTGGGATATAGGACGCTACTTTAATACCGCCCCACGGCCACATGAGGCCTACTCCTTTGAAACAGCACGATATTTATATTCTGGATTCTTTCGGTAAAGTCACGTTACTTTACCGAAAGAACCAAGAATATGAATCCCTGCAGTCACGAAAGCTTTACATCGAAATTTAGCCCGATATTTATCGATTACTGCGGGCATTGAAGCTGCATTAATTGGGATCTAGAAAGGGGAAAATTTTGAACCTGGCAACAACACTTTGTTTCACCTGCAGACTGTTTTGCTGAAGCTGGAGGATCTTCCAGCACTGACGCATGTGGCCATCCTTGCACGCAGCACTGCTCTGGATGTAAGTACACACGCACAACAATAAAGATCCCCCTTGTAGCCTTAACAAACTTTTGGAACAAGTGCTGTTAGTGAGCAGTGCCTATGAAGGCCAGCACGGTACACGAGGGGTTGGGTGGCCAACACCATGCCCAACCGCCTTTGTCTCCCCAGCGGCAATGTTTACACACTACACCAGGTACTCATTTGAGGTTGAGTCGACCTAGTGGTGGCCATGAGCGGGAGTCGAACTCGGGTCACCGGGCTCACAGCGCAGCATGCTAGCCGCTGCACTACTCCTGCATCGTCCATGTGTGTGCTCGTTTCGAGCCTGCGCTGGCCTTGTTCTGTTGACAGGGCAGCCTGGCGTGTGAGCTCATCGCCTGGAACAATCGGAGCAGCGCATTGCCTGTAACCAACGCTCTCTCACTAGGTACACACCAACACAGCGCTCAGTCATGAGTACTTCATGCAGTTATAGAGAACCAAAAAATGGCATTTTTTATGACAGTTGTTTGCAAGTTAAGGTCCAAGAGGCTGGAAATGGCCTGTGGCATAGTTTTGACTGGCCCGGTACGCCAGGGATCGGCAACCAAAATAACAATAAGAGCTATTTTTGGGGTTTTTTTGGTAAAAAAACCCCGTAATATTTGAATACCCGCAATTCACATGAATACAAGACAGCGGTCCTTAATAAATAACGTCATGAAATAGACCTTAAAGAGCCGCGTGAAGCTCTGGAGCCGCAGGTTGCCGACCGCTGCGGTACGCCAAACACTGGGCAAACAACTCGGGGGGGGGGGGGGACTGTTTGCTGTGAACAGGCTACATGATACCATTCTTGCTAACGGGCGTCACTATCGCTAATGTCACCTCAAGTTCACCAAGTTACCACGTGGCCCACAGAGAGAGCCAGCCTTGAGATTTTGAACGCGACCTGCGCTGGAAGATGATTGCACGTCATTGCTCTAGCTTAAAGTTCAAGTGTGAGTTTGCATAACTTGTTTAAAGTAAATTATAGTGATTATTATAAAAATTGTCATTGTGATTTCCTGTTTAAATGAGCATTCAGGCAGTCCTCAACGCCTGTATCCAGTGGTGGAAATGCAACATTCCTTTATAATTATAATATTGTTTGACAATGATAGTAATTACATTTATAGATTAGAAATGATAGGAATAACTATGCTGTAATGTCGTTGTAATGTTTTGTGTTTTTACATTTTGTTCAAAAGGACTGACCTCCAATTCACTGTCCATACCTTCTGCTGGACTTCTGCATATTGTTAACCTCACAGATTTCGTACAGGCAAGTGGAAATATTATTCCGAAATCTTAAAACAGGCAATTTTTTTTCGTAATGAAGTTTGTTTTGTTTTGCAAGAAAGCCTCTTAAGGCTTTTTTTGGGATCTTCCTCTTAAGTTGTCACAGGCAGGGGGCGATGTGGCTGCAATCCCAAATGAGTAATTTGCTCAAAACACTGTCCCACTATTGCAAAGGATATGCTTAATATACAGTCAGATATAACTTTGGGCCCAAGTCATGTATTGGTTAAACTACTTTTCAGCTGAATATCTGCAGAAACATAACCACATTTGTAAAAGTATAAATTGTTTGGATTTACACCTCACGGTGTTAATTGCCTTGCTACTAACATTTGAAGCAATACATTCTCACCTAATACATGCTGTTGTCTTTGCAGGTGTACCAGGCATTCACTGTTTATATCAAGCCCACCTGTGAGATCACATCAGGTAAGAGTTGATCGATGCAGTTAGTGCTAGTTATCCGAGACAATAGACAGATTTGTAAACTCTGGCCACACCGGAGCGTCACCAGTCACGTGACCATGTCTCTTGTTTCCGCAGCATCCCATCTGGTACGGTTGACTGTGCCCTGGTTCAAGGAAGACTCCTTTACCACTGTGAAGTGAGTGTTTTGTTCAAATGCATTTTGCAAATGCTATGGCTCATCGTGGTGGTTGAAACTTATTTCTTGTTCCGCTTGCACTCCTACGTTATTTGTCCACTGGCACCGGTTGTAGAGGGCTTCGCGTCCAAGATAGCACAGTTGAGAGTGTATTTTGTTTAACCAGGATGAGTATGCAAAAGACCAGGGGTCGAGTCTCCTTTAGAAGTGTGACCTGGGTCACCGAAATGACAAAAAACAAGTAAAGTCACGTACAGAAATGAAATCTGAGCATAATACATTTATCATACCATAAGTCGGTTTGGTCAGATTTTCTTGACTGATCACAGCACAATAATAAATTAAGTTGTACCTATGCTGAACGTCTTTTGTACCGTACATAGCCAGCCATGCTAATAGGAAGTCGCAAGTCAAAGAAACGTTAAACAGATATAAGGCGACTTGTCCTCATATGTAAGGATACCTGTGAAATGCTAATGCAAGTGAAGTTAGAAGAATCGACAGCTTAGGTCATCCCCTCCTCTTCAGCAACCCAAACTGACCAGCATGGTCAAACAACGACTATGACTGACACTGCATTGGGAGACCTTTATCCAGCAGTGGATTCAAAACGGGCTGTCATTTATAAAAGCACTCTGAAGATCCCACCGAGCACAGAGGCATATTGTCTGATCCTCAAACTCCTCCACCAATTACGTTCGTGCCGTTGCCTGGTGTGTGTGTGTGTGCGTGCGTGCGTACACGTGTGTCCGTTATAGTGCCTCGGATGTGACAGCGCTGTCTGTGAAGCTGCACACGGGCCGGCCACTGGGAAACGAGGCGATGCCCAGCCTCCAGCTGCACGGCCACGCTGATTGCCGTTACGAGGCGCGTGCCCTGTGCATCGCATTACGGCACACGCGCCGCGGGCATGAGGACGAACCGTAGTTGTGTAGTGTGGTTGGCGTGGGGCCCTGGTGTAAGGAATGAAATGCCGATTTAAGTGATTTCAGTACGAGTTTGTGGTGCGTTCCTAATTGCGAGAGTTGTAAATGAAATGTGTCGTCTCGTGAAATGATGGCGATATCGCACGATTGGAAAATTATTTGGGGAAAAAGGCAAAATTCTTCAACCAATTGAGAAGCAACAGAAATATGCACTTAGAAAAATGTTAATGCAGTTATGAAAATGCAACGGAGCATTCGAGTGATTTACTTTATCCTGCTTTTATAGGTCACCATCAAGACGTCGTTTTTAGAAGTGATGGGACAGGTGAGGCTCCATAATTAAATTAAAAACTACATTCAGGAAATACATCTTAACTTTACATTTCCATCGATGCCTATAAACACAGTTTGTAACCGTGTTGACAAGCTTTTAAAGGTACATTTTTATCACATGTTTCCACCTCGTGTGTTTCCACCTCGTGAATTTGCCCGCAGTTCGTGCGTTTCCACGCCGAGTGCTTCCCCGCGTACTTTGTGGCGAACATCCTGCTCGTGTTTGGCAAGCAGCTCTTAGATCAAGCAGAGCAAAGGTGAGGTGTAAATGAAAGGTGGTGGGGGCAACACGTAACATAATTCCTGGTCGAATGGCTGTAGTCATAGTTCAATGGGTCATAAATTGGGGCCCAAAATCTCAGAAGAGATGAGGGAACTGAAGGAATAAAATAACTGCTGCTACGAATAATATTTCTGCAGAATTGGGTTTGGAGATCGATAATGGACGTGTTAATGGATAAAACAAAACCATGAATGGCAAAAGAGTACAGATAGGGTAAGGGTTGGGGTTAGGGATAGGCATGTAGCTACTTTTTGGCTGCAGCATTATTGACACCTATATTTACCCAAGAATGTCAGTGTGTAACGCGCGTGACGTCACTCCACGTCAACCAGCCCCCCTCATTAATAATCATGAACATGTTACGTGCTGCACATGGACCCGTCCCCTCTTTAATAATCATGAACAGGAAGGGTCCTCCACATGGACCCCCGTCATTAATAATCATGAACGGGTGACGTCACTCCGCATGAAGACGGTGGAGTAGAAACGAAAATTTGTTTACGCAAAATAGCTTTCATTTTGACCTTTCTTTATGGAATTCAAAGCTAATAAATCAACGCAGCAACTAATATAACGAGCCATACAAGGCAGTGTGTGTCCCGCGCGTGACGTCACTCCACATGCACCCCCCCCCCCCCTTATTATTAATGTGTGCCTGGATTTTTTGACTAACGCAGAAGGTCGAGCGGCTATGATAAAAAAAATTACGCAAATTCGCTTTCGATTTTACGTATCTTTATAGAAAGTGAAGGCAATAAATAATTATACGTCGCATCACAGTGCATTTGGTGCCTTTATTAATTTCTTCGGCACGTCCAACGAAAGGTAAGTCTACTTTACGCTTCCAAATTATGCTACAATAAACATTTCTCTGCTACTTTGCAGACATTGTATCGAATTCCAATTGTTTCCAACCCCAGCGAGCGAAAGCGGAAGATAAGTAAGTAGCAGAGCAGTGAATTGCAAGTAATTGAACGTCCGTTAAATACAGTGCTACTGTGACATTACATCAGGTGTTTTATGACATAGTTTGCATGCAACATTCACTGCCATTATTACAGTGCTACGGTGAAATGCAGTGAAGTGTTTGATTACATTCTTTTTTTCAATATTCCCTGCTATTACATTTAGACAAGATACAATTATACTTTGATCAATTTATTCATAACTCTAATGCTTCTCCCCTTTGGTCTTCGTTATTTGCTAAGTTACTTCAGACAGTATCAGCACTCTACTTTCTTCACTTTTCGCTATCAAGCGTCCATCGGTGAAAATACATTTGTCAGTTAACAGCTTCAGGTGATTTGAAAACAGTGCTAAAGTGAAGTTAGGCGTTTTTAAATTATACAGCCACAGTGATTGCCTTTGCCTATTGTGTAAGATACCGAAGAATCCCTGGTCAAAAAATTAACCAATTTGAATGCTTTTTGCCTCGAAACTAGCTAGATTTGGCCCCTCTGCAGATCACCCCGCTCCTATACAGTGTCTAAAAAGTGTGAGGCAACCTTTTTCGCAGTGTTCCAGCTGCTGGAGCACGTTACGTGTCGTAAGATCTAAATACGTCAAACAAAGAGGACGAAGATACTGCAGCTAAGAAACGCTGTTTGCAAAGAGAAAGACAGCAGAGATGGAGAGCTCGCCAGAGCCACCGACATCATCACAAAGCTGTCCGGAGATATCCAAAATTATTACAGCTCTGTCTCGATCGTGTCGTAAGAACCTGCGGACACATTGAATCACCCTCCAGAATTTCTTGCACGATCAAACGCCTTCAGGAATGCCGCCATACACATTGGCACTGAAGACAGGCGTTATCATCATGCTTCTGCGACATCTTAACCCGAAGAATGGCCTTTGCAATGGAACGCATGTTGATGGTCAAATCATTACAAAATAACTTAATCACCGCAGAGATTGTATCAGAATGCAACCGAGGCGAAATCGTCTTCATCACGAGAATCGACTTAGCTACAAGTGACGTCACTCTTCCTTTCGTACTGAAACGATGACAAATTCCGATAATTCCTGCGTATGCGATGACAATCAACAAGTTGCAGGGTCAGACTTTAGAAAATTTGGGTATTTATCTCAATGAACCCGTTTTTTTCCCATGGCCAGTTGTCCGTGGCTCTGTCTAGATCTAAATATCCTCAGCGGATCAAAGTGTTCATCAAGGATAGCCAACTGCAGGGAAACATTTTGAACAGTGATAAGAGATTCACACAAGATATCGTATACTGAGAAATCTTCCAAAGTCCTTAATTTCATTTAATAAATTAAGAAAAATATCTTTATGTGCTACATTTCCTCATAAAATTAACAATCACGCAATAAAACGTTAATTTACATCAAGCTAGTTATTAAGATAATCGGTATTTCAGGCTAATGTCTATTTTAGAGGAGCCGATCTGAGCTGAGAGCTTTGTTTCATGAAGTCACATAAAGGATAAATGAACCTTATGGCAGGAACCCGGGGTCCCAAAAGCCCCCGGCTCTCGCACGAACTACGTTACGACGTCATTTTATGTCTTGTTGAAGGCGAACGATACGCCAATCTATTCCTCTCGACGAGCTCTACACGATGCTCTAATCAAAGTTTCCAAGTTTTGTTTATGACTACGGCGATTTTGACAACGACAGGTGCTTGGTCAAGAACGAGAGGATTGATTTCTGGTGGGTCGCGGCGTTTATGTGCGCGGTGCGACGGAGTCGCCAATAATAAATACATTTATTACGATTTTGACTTCCGTTTATTTGGGACCCCGGGGTCCCGCCATAAGGTTCATATGAAAGGTTGCAATGTTGCGCTTTCTATGCCAAGTGTTTTTAGAATCTTTCGATCTTGGCACTTGCCGCTATGTGACATATTTGGTGATAAATTGTTTGTTTCAATCTATGTGGTTTACAACAGAGGGCTCTGAGCTGCTCTCCTCGTGACCTGCCGTGACCCCTCAGCCTGCCCATGTTGCGCAAGCCTCAACCCCTGTGCCCCCTTTGTCTTCTCAGAGCCGTGCCCCCCATTCCAAGCTGCCATTGAAGTGGCCGCCAAGCCTTTCCACATACAGCCCTTCGTCAACCTCTTAAAGTTGTTTATGGGGTAAATGAACATCTTTTGGTTTTCACTGTTTTAGAGTTAATATATTATCATGCTTTCTTAGTCCTCATGTGCCATGATCTAGACACTGCTGGATGAAGGTCTCTCCAATCTGTCGCACTCTGTCACATATTAGTCATTTATAGGCTTGTCATGATTCACCTTCCTCAGTAATTTGATGCATTTTCATGATTAGTGATTCATTTTTGTATCGTGTAACTTTTTACTTTATAAAGTCGCATTCATAAAGTTGTTCCCCACAGCCTAAATGTCACATTACCATGTTTCCATATAATTTGCACAAATCGGCAATAATCTATCTTCACACACACCACTCAATGCAGCATTTTGAGAGCATCTATCCTTGATGATAGCCATGACCAGGAATCAAACTTTGGGTTACTGGGTTAAGAGGACAGTATACAAACCACTGCACCACCACTTCGCCATACTTATTTACATGTCGCCATAAAACAGGTGCCATACATGTAAAGCAAACCAGTGCGAATTAAACTGCATGGTAAACACGACGGATGTTCCCAGCAAAGAATCCGGTATTTTTATCGCTGCTGTTGTGTTGTCGTGTTGGTGGTGTTGACCTGCCCCTATTGGATATCTTTTAAAAAGACCTTCATAGCTCATCGGATTCCTCCAGTCTAAATAAAGATTCCATTTATTTATTTAAAATGTTTAAAATAAAATTGTCCTGGCGTGTGCCGCGTGGTTGGCGACGTGCGGTGCAGCTGGGAGTGGTTCCATGCCGCGTGGGCCGCCCTGCTTCTCCCCGAGCCGGACGCCGTGCTCCTGGAGCGCCGTGCCGTGTGGCACAACCTCCTACCGCTCTTCATGTTCCTGCTCGCCGGCGCGGCTGTGCGCGCCGCCGCCCTCCTGGGCTCCTGCGTCGTGCGACTCTCTGCCGCCGCGCTCGTCAGGGTGAAGCGGTATGGGCTGCTTTAAGAGTAACGGTGACGACGCTTCGCATCGCCATCTTCAATGTCCACCCAACAGTTGTAAATGGGCATGCCACAGTCCATCGGCCGGTCGTATGTGGTGGGGTAAAGTTTGGGTACTCTCTTTCTACGATATCTGGCCAGTGTGGAAGCGTAGGCCAAAAATACCCTCTAGAAGGACTTCGTAGAGCTCCCTCTAATGGAGGTCCTACCAGCAGTAGCAGGAAAAATACAATATCTGGGTTGTGCTTCTACCAATGTCGCCACTCTGAGATTTGCAACTGTAATGTACCACGCAGATGGGATGCATAACATTTTGTGGTATGCGTGACCTCTTGCCCCTCCCACGCACCCTGCTCGCTCAAGCTCCACCCTCAACCTTCCTCACCCCGTAATCACGGTTATTGTTGCTGCAGGCCAAACGCGGACGTGATTCCGGGGGGGCTGCTGTCATCGCGCTGCGTGCCCGTGATGGCCATGGTGCTCGGGGTGGCGTGGTTGTTCTGCGGAGCTCTCGCCCTTTCTGTTACCGTCCTCCTGTGCTTGGCCAAGGTGGGCTTGCTCACCTGTGGAGACGTGCGGCGATGTCGTTGCAATTGTCTGTGGGAACCCGGAACCCTGGGTCTGAGGGGTGCTGTGCAGTGTATGTATGTATGTTGAACTTCTTTTGCACCGTACGTAGCCAACCATGTTCATCGAAGGTGCGGGGGGAAGGACGGCAAACCAAACACAAAAAGCAGTTCTAAAGAAATGAGTTTTCAATCTCGATTTAAAAATGCATGGCTCCCGGTGACTTCCTAATATCAGAAGAAAGAGTGTTCCAGACAGCCGCAGAAGCACATCTAAAACAACTTGACGGGCTGTTGGCCGCGAACAGGCCACCGTGACGTCATCTACAAGTACGCAAACGTCACAGTGGCAAAATGTCCACTTGACCCTCTCAGCCCCATGGGAAGTTCGGAGATGCCCAAATTGGCCGCACGCTCAAAGAAGTTTGCACCCCACTGCTCAGTGCCTTTACCACCTGCACTGCCTACCAGTGCAGGTGGTAAAGGCACTGCAATTCCACCGTGCATTTCAGAGTTTGCTGGTTGCAATTGGGGAACACGTTTACTTGCAGGGCACATTTAATTGCTGCTGATAACTCGTAATCATTTGACAGTCTTATATATACATATGCATTTTGAAACTCGTGAATCATTGGTGTGCGTTGCGTTGGCCTCTCGCAGGTCATCAGACTGCACGCAAAAGTGGCAGCCATGCGCTCTGCCCTCAACCTGGTAAGAATACCGTACCTGTGTGTGTGTGTGTACGTGTACCCTTTTTTTCTACAATGTATCACTTGTGATACATTGCTGTCACTGAATCGGTAGCATAAATGCTGAAATCCTGTTTCACTATGGGATACATTTTGTCTTGAACAAGGCTTGGATTCCCGACATGTCCCATTATAAGCGGGCAAATGCAGCAACCATAAATTCCTCGTATTCAAATTGCACCGCATTTCTGTGCATGCCCCCATGTATGCAGTGTCTTGACATGTGCTCGCATTGAGTTTACAAATGTTTGTTAAATTTAACAATTGCTGATTGCGTATAAATTTCCCAACGATATTGATTCATTTAACAATCATATTATTTGCTAGAACTCGGGGCTTAAATTCCCACTGAATATTGTCTGGGTTGCTGGTAGACTGGCGGAGAAACGTGACTGGTACCCATAGTGATAACGAGAGGATGTCGTGTCGGATATATTTTCCTGCTCACCAGCCCTGATAGGTCTAGCTGAAATGAATCCTTGATCGAACTCATCAACACAAATAGTTTGTTTTGAAACCTCGCCCATGAGCGAGTCTTTCCCATCACGGCCGCTGCTGTGCAATTTTCCACCCTCAGACGCCTGCGTCATGTGCCGGAGAGACCCGCCCCAGCAAGGACGATCAGCAGGACCAGGGTGCAGAATCGAGCGAGAAAGAAGAAAAGCCTTTTGGCAACTCGGCCGATGGACCGCGGAAAAGGCCGGGTGCCGGGTCGGCGGGAGATCGCGCCGAGAGCAAAGCCGAGGCTTCTTCCCCCGGCGGTCGTGAGCGCCCCAGGAGTAAGGATAACGCAGCCGATGCGGGTGAAGCCGGGAATGAGGACGGGCTATCGAGGGGGAGCTCCCTGGCGGAGAGACTGGTGCGCGTGGCTTCTGACCGGCTCCACCTGCAGATGACAGCGCTGTCCTTGGTAGTGTGCGCGCTAGCGCTCACCGCACCCTCCCTCGTCTTTTGGTTGAAGCAGTTACGGTGAGTCAGCATCCACCACTTTGCCCACTTGCTGTCTCAAGAAAGGGACTGATTACCGTAACATTTTCCAGTGTATTAATACGCAGAATTTTTTGTTTTTGCTTATTACCTGGTTCTACGGTTGTTTACATGAAACGCATAGCCATTTGTCAAAGCCGATACTGTGAAATGCTAAATTAATCATCTTTATAACCAGGTCAGCCTATTGAGACTGCGAGTCTTTTTCAAGGGAGATCTGGATAATAAAAGCAGGTCTAATTAAGCAAAAAAAAAATACAATTGCAAACAAGTGTACAAATAAAATAACCAACCGTAGTTGGAAAGCGTGAAGAAACGTGACGACGAGATGGGGTTTATCTATATTAATCTTCTATCGCGCCGTACGTAACCAACCGTGCTCATCGGAGGTGGCACCAATGCCATTGACTGAGATGACCTCTTTGGTGCCAACAGCGTCGACAGGAAGCTGCAGCCGGATCCATTCCGAGCCGTTTCCGCCGTCATCAGCCTTGTGCTCGTGCTGCTCATGGAATCCCGGGCAACGGCATTCCGAGAGAGGTGGGGAAATTAACGAACTGCAAACCCATAGCACACAAGTCGGGGGGAACCCACAGCCTGCGGGCCAGATATAGCCCACAACATCCGTCACTGCGAACGTCTTAGCTGCACACATCAGTTAGTGAATGGGGAATATTTTAGACTTTGCAATTTGCTAATTTTAGAAAATTAGAAAAGGTTTCAGATTTTATCTTGCTCGGTCATTTGAGTCACTGCAGGGGCCTGCTGCGGTGACAGAAGTGACTGAGGTGTGTACCGTGTGGTTGCCCACCAAAGATATTAAAAGTCCTATATAGCTGTAAGGAAAGAAAAGATTCCCGACCCTGCTCTAGCACCACCACCTCCTGTCATTTGAGCCTTCATCGATTTACCTGGAATTAAGAATGAACTATTGTGTCCTATAAATCTCGTTTGATTCCACAAAGACTAACATCAGTGGTGAGTGATATCTGGACGGTGCTGGGCCTCCCCTAGGTCCACTCAGCATCATATTAGTAGCTGGCACTTTGGAGACAAAAGCGGGAGCCATGGTGCTAGCCACTCCAGCCTACGTGTGCCGCGTCGGCCTTAATAGGTGTTCACCAACAATACTTGCCCCAACAATGTGTAAGCTACACGGGGGGGTATTTATCTTTGTCATTTCAGCAAGATGCTGCGGGTGGTGGCACGACTGCATCACCCCCTGGCGATCGGTGCTGCAGCGTTTGCTATGGCGCACATGCACCGCCTACCAGGCTTTATCGCCGCATCGCTCCTCCTCACTGCCGCCTGCTCCTTCTACTGACACAGGCAGCGTCGTGTACCCACGTGTAGGTGTACGTGCGTGCGTGTGTATGTCAGGGGTGGGGAACCTATGGCCCATGACTTCAAGTCGCAGAGCCTGCGATTTAATTTCGTACAGCAGTAGAGGCCTCACTTCAAAACAGCAAACGAACGATATCTGTCCATCCCTCCAAGCATCTTAAGTGTTGAGATGCAGTGCCATAATTTTATTCCAGAGTGAGTTATTTACTAGCTGTAAGGGTTTACACAAACCAATTGCATACGATATATACAAATTTAAAAAAATCACAACGCACAACTGTATTTTGTAAAGTACAAAATGTTATGCTATTGCGTTAAATTAGTATGTTTTATTGTATCACAATCGATGCATTGTTACACACATACTGTAGATGGCTGATTGTCAACAGTTGTTATAGGCAGTGGACTTTGACACTGCTGGCAAAGCACAAAAAGTTCGTTCTTCAATTATTATTTTGTATTTAGCACTGGGCCAACTCAATTGACGAGCTCAGGCTGCACATTCATGTTCTGTACAGTTATCTGTGTGGAGGCAGCTACATGTGTGTGTCCATTTTTTTCAGTTTCAGTATTTGGATGTGTAATGGTACACTTAGACATCCAGGTAGCATTTAGAGGTAGAGTGAACAGCTTGCAATCAGAAGGTTGCGAGATCATATCCCAATTGGTGGGGTTGACTCAGCCCATCAACAGTGGTTGTCCTATGGATACTCATCCCCACCATAGGAACGTGGAAATTTAAACCACTGGCTCAGGACTGTAACCAAGAGATGAGCTCCACCTCAATGCTGTGTGTATATATATACATAAGTCGGAAGGAACCACGGTGGAATCTCGCCCCAAGAACAAACAAGAGATTTAAGCCACATAAATTAATGTTACTGAAATGTTTTTTTTTATTTTGCACTGTATTCCTTTTATTGATGGTAATTGAATGTCATCGTGACGATCTCTGTTTGCGTAGTTCGTGACTGCATCTTTGGTCATAGTCCCAGTGCTCAGCATTTCCGTGGTCCTAGCACTGTTTGCATGTTTACCAAATGCTGTGCGTGCGCGCGATTGTTATGTGCAATGAAAGGTGTGCGCCGGTCCTGTTTTCTGCGCGATTGCCCTTGAGCATTGAACACCGGCGTGACTCGTGCCATGGGTGTTTTGGTCGAGTGCAAAAAAACGATTGCTGAAGAAGAGAGAAAGAGGATGCCGATGATATAAGTTGATTTTAATTATTTGCAGACGTAAAAAAATTCGTGCGTAAAATCAAGTACGTGTGACACGTTTGTATGAACACACACATTCATTAAAATATTTTGTAAAATGTTACTTTGCATTTTGGATTGGATTACGCAGATGTGAAAGGCGCGCAAGTAATGTACGCGACGTACGTTCTGTGGTTGAAGTGATTGGAAAATTATTTAAGGGTTGAATTTGTGCAAATATGATTAATTACACCAGACACAACTGAGATTTTAAAAAATATAAGTTTTATGTTTTAGACCTGTGCATAGAGTTGCCACCTGTTGTTCCGAGGACAATAAAAGTCCAGGTTTTTGTCAGTTTAATAATACAAGATCAAAACAATGCATTTAAATGTGGATCTCCCTCTTCTGATATAATGGGATATAATGAGATGGCAACCGTAATTGACGTGCATGCGAGCGAGCGAGCGTGTATGCGTGCGTGCTTGTTGGAGGCGGCTCTGGTGCGTCAGTGAGGCTCCGCACTCGTTGAGTCACGCTCGTAGTCGCGTCCGTACATCTCAGCCGTGATGAGTCCGTGCTCTGTGGCTGTCGCCGTCAGGAATCGTTCTCCTCCAGCGTCCCGTCTGAACGAGTCCGGCGCCTCGAGCCGCATTCCGCTCCCCAGAATGCAGGGGTATACGTGCTGCGTGCTGACAAGACAAAGATCCCCTGTATAGCCTTAACAGACTTGGGGCAAGTTCTGTTAGCGAGCACCTATTAAGGCCAGAACAGCACACGAGGCGCACACACACATTCCCTGTGTACACTTTAACAGACTGTCGGGGCAAGTGCACTTGTGAGCACCTGTTAGGGCTATAGTGGGGTTGTGTGGCCATTACCATGTTCCCAACGCTGATGTTTATTAAACCATAGGTACTCATTTAAGTTTGAGATTGTGCATTATACGTGACCTTTTGATAGCCTATATTGCTGTATATTTTATAATGCAAGCCTGAACGCACGTAGCAATGCTATTTAATTTAGTGATTACAAAAACACCCTTAATTTGAATCATGCACCAAATAATTTGATATTTTTTGTACCCTACCATAACGTGAGATTTGTATTCACTCCCAGTCTTCTTTTGGACATTAGGCAAGGTTTAATTTCATCTGGATTTAATCAGGTGCCGACTCCAGTAAAAAAAATTTCCCAGAAACTATGAAGTGGGAAATTAAGCACTGGTATTTGGGGCACCAATTTTTAAAGAGGCCCCAGAACATACCTGAAGTTTCCGCGCAGTGTGAAGTCCACCAGCGTGCTGGCCTGCGTCACGGGCTGGCCACAGCTCGCCCGCTCCTCGCCCGAGCACCTCACCAGTGCGCACACCTGCGTGTAGTACCGGCCGTTGACGGTGTGCAAGCCGTCGAAGGCGCCGAGCGCGTACAGCTCCCGGGCATCGCCCGAGCAGCGAAAAGTCAGCCAGCAGCAGAGTTCACCGTGGCAAACCTGCACCTCGCCTGCCGGCCCCTGCAGTGCCTTGAACGTGTAGTTGTCGTACATCATGCTCGCGTAAAACTCGTCGGCCATGCGGCTGCCACCAGACTGCCCTTCCTTCTTTACGAACGCCCCGTGGTTGTCAGCTCCCACGAGTGGCACTGGTGTGCTCTCATCATCACAGGCCCGGTCTTTTTTTTGTCGACCCTGTGGGGGCTTGCCGTTAAGCGTGTCCGGTCTTTCACCCACGACGTTTCTTGATGCAGAATTCTTCATCTCGCACGCAACTTCATCCGCCTTGCTTCCTTGCAAAGCTCCACCGCGCATCGCCAAACTGTCGTCTTTTCCTGATTGGGCATCGGTCAGGACGTTGGAGAGCACGGGCAAGTCGGCCACGAGCAGACGGCCCTCATTGCTCTCTGCGTCGTAGCTGTACACCGTCACGTCGGGGCCATACACACCGCTGCCCACCATGCCCTTCTCTGGATGGTGCTGGTTGGAGGCCATTAGGGTGACGTTGAGGCCATAAGCGAAGGCCCTCTGTATCTGCACGGACGTGAGCAGGGGCAGCTGGTCGATCCACGCCGTGGGGAAGGCGATGTGCCGGACGCCATGCTTTTCCACCAGCGCCACGGCCGGCTCGTAGAAGAGGATGTCGAAGCAGGTGATGAGGCCGATGCGCCCGGCGAAGGGCGTGTCGAAGATCGAGTACTCGACCTGGATGGGGGTGGCATCAAAGTCGAGCGATGGGCACCCACGCTTTCTGTGTGGCGAGAAGGAACTAGCAAACGGTGATGGGGTTGTTGTTTTTTAAATCACAACTGTTGTGCACACCCTGAGAGGCCAAAAGTGCAAAGCGGGTAAGCAACAAAGTCGGTAATGTACATACATAAAGTACATTATGTATGTGGATTAACTGTAATAACCCAACTAATAATAGAGATCCATTGTAATTTATATGACTCCATTGACCCCCCTCCCTCTAGGCTTTGCACCTTGTTGGCTCACAAGGGACGACATCAAATTTATTATCCCTCTATTTAAGACCGAAACAGGAGGATTTCTCCACAATTCTGGCTGTTGCCTAATGAGGCTGGTTGTAAATACTGGCAAAACGTCGTACTCGAATTGTAAATGTTGTGGGCTTACTCTCCAACACACCAGTGTGCTGAACTAGTAACTCATTTCTCATTTGCACGTTTTTCTTACGTGACAAACCTTCCTAATCGGCTGTGGTGGGTTTAGCGACAAATTTACGCAATCTAACCCAAAAAAATTCATGGATAACATCGGTCGCGAAAGCCTACGTGTTAATCTGACAACAGTGCTACTGATGTAATGGATAAGAGTTAGTTTGTTTCTTCAATTGAGCAAAGTTGAGCAGCAGTAAGAAATAATCACAAAGAGAAGTGTTTTGACATGCAGTGTTGCGATTGAACACAGGACTGGACTGTTCTGGCTAAAATGAAACAATGTTTATAGCTTTCATCGACAAATGGCTAGAAGATTTATTTTGGCACATCACATCCATCTCAGCTTTTTTGGTTACATTATTGTTATAGACCTGTTCAGAGGACTATCGGAATATAGGGTACAAAAATGTTGTATTATGGATAGGCGTACCTTATATTCTAGTGGTAGTGCCTTACACCGATGCTACACGCATACCCTCTATAAACAACTGCTATACGCAATGCGTACGCTCTTATAAATAATCTCTAAACCAAGCGACAGCAGCATTCTTACTGATTGTACCACTCCCTCTCCCAGCCCCGCTGACCGTGGGTGGGAAATCGAAGGCTTGCTCGAAGTACAGATTGTTCTTGCGATATCGCGCCACCAGGGTGCCTTCGCTGCTGAACGCCACGTTGGTGTTGAACTGGAAGCGACCGTCCGGCGGGCACCCCGTGTTGTGGTCCAGCGAGCAGGGCAGCACGTCGCCCATGTTGGCCACCACGTAGAGGCCCTCATCCCGAGCGATGCAGCTCAGGTTGCGAAGGACCTGGCCACACCGCACGTGCATCGGCACCGCCAGACCGCAACAGAGGTGTGACAGCGCATTTTTCTACGTGGAATTGTCGTAGCGAAGACCATTTGTATGACACCTTTTTAAAAAATGCACGCACAGTAGAGAAGGTCGTTTTGAGAACTGAGACAAGTAAATGGGATTTGGAAGGACATAACACTGGGACAGGATGATGGAGGTGCAAAAATGCAGCTAGGGAAAACGCATCCAACAGGAGAACAACCTTGACGATGGCTTGTGTTGTAATTGAAACGTCGTAGTTTTTTGTTATTTTCTTTGAACCTATCTATGTGACTTTACAGAAAGACCCAAGAACAGGACAACAACCGTGGAGATGGAGTAATGAGATCATTTAATGTGCAGGAGTGAGATTGATGCAGCTGCATGGGACCATGAGGGATAGCAACGACGTGGTGAGCCATCATCCAGCAATGGAAAAACAATCGCTGATGATAAAGTTAACCGTCTCTGGGTTTTCACCTGCAGATGGCACATGCAGGTTAATGAAAATGCATGTAATGAGAACGAGAACAGCATGAGCCATTGCTGAACCACGCGCAAACTCAGGTTCCCGTGAGCTGCCGAATACATTTCATGTGTCCGTCTAGCACGGGTCGGCAACCAAAATAACAAGAAGAGCCATTTCTTTCCAATTCGTACAAAATTCAGTATTTCAAGAGCCGCAATGCATCTGAGTACATACTGTACATACGTACATATCGTCAAGAAGCAGCCCGTAAAGAGCCGCATGCGGCTCCGGAGCCGTAGGTTGCCGACCCCTGGTCTAGCATATTAATTCATGAGGTCACTGCCAGCAGATGACAATGATGAACTCAAACCATCCGCGTGAGTTTGGCATTTTGTGACCCAACAAACCTGGAGCCACGAGACGCTCCTATTTACATGCACGCTCGGTCTTGTAAGGTAAAAGTGGCCAAAGCAGAAATGCATCTCGTCCACACCCATAAATGACACCACACCACCCCAATACTCCAGTCCCAGATCAATTTCACACACTCAACATCTTCAAGATCCTCCATTGACTTGCCCCTCTCATCTCCTTTGCTGCCCCAGTCGTCTGGAACTCCCTTCTCTCAGCTGTCAGTGCTGTCGACTCCCTTTCTCTGTTGAATCCAGGTTCAAGATATTCTTTTTTTAATCTTTCTCTCTACCTATGATTGCCTCTTTCTTAAAAATAAATATGGCCCACTCTTTCTGTACAGCATTTTGAGAGCAGGGGCAACATGTTGATTCTCTATATATCCAAATAGTAATAGCAATGTACGATGTTAATAAGATCACCTCGGTGTTGGGGAATCGGTCCGGTTCGAGGCAGGGGTTCCAGATTATGGCAGCGGGGTCCGGCACGTGCTCCAGGTAAGGCAGGATGGAATCCCTCGTGAAGCCAAACCCGAAGAGTCCATATTCTGGGAAGACGATGATTTGGGCTCCCTGTCGAGAGCAGTGAATGTCAGACAGACAACTCCTGCCGGGTGGTTGGGCTGCCACAGAGGCGGTGGCGTAGCTGTCGAGGGGTGCAGGCGGTGCAATAGAATCCGGGGCCCAAGAGCCGGAGGGGCCAAGGCTCCAGGCTACAAAGAGGAGGGTGCATTGGACAGGAGGCCAAATTTCGTTCCTTGCACCAGAGCTCATCTCAACCACGCTATGACATTTTACAAAGTTTGACAAGTGCAAAAGCTCAAACATACTGCACATTTTTAAAAATAATTTCAATTTAACTGGTGTTGCTGATAAACAGATTTATGTTACTTTTGGATAAAATGTTTTGAAAGTTGTATTACGTTTTTTTGCATTCTAAATGAAATGTTTTAAATCAGTTACATTCCCCTCAAACATTTAAAATACGAAATTGAACACATTTTAGCATTTTTGAGAGTTTATATCTAAAGAATGTTCAATGTATCCAGAAGGGAAAAAAAAAACTATTTAATCATAATTTGCTGAAAACTCAACACAGGAAAAATGCTTCATAATATGATAATTGTATTTCATAATGAAGAAAATATGAACCTACCCCCAACTCTTACTTTGGGTCAACCTAACGGCTAAGTCTAGCGCTATTCGATGATGTTGAGTTTAAAAAAATATCCACAAAATAGGAATTGCATCTTGTTATATTCTTTTGTAACATGTTTTGTTTTTATCGTAATGAAATAGAAAATATGGAATGTAGGCTCACGTCAACGTTTCCTCATTGTTCAGACAAGCAAATGGGTCAAGGACATCTCCGCTGGTAGCCAAACACATGGTGGAAATGTCACATTCCCATGGTGTGGGCCACTCCATCTGCAGGGTGACCCGCTGTTGGCTTTTCACAAAATAGTACTCATTTTAATAATTCTGGAAGATGATGGTTATGATGGGCTGTTATATCTCACCCAATATTGTGACTTTTTTTTACTGTATTATGATTGTTCGCCAAGCGCTCTAACCACAGCTCCATACTAATACAAAATGCGCAAAAGACGATTAGTATCTATTGAATTATTTTCACAAGGTTAAAAACACAATTTATTATTACTATGCTAGATTAACGAAAGCCTGGCTGATTCCACTATGAAACACAATTTTTGTTCCTGGGTATTAAGTGTTATTTTTTTAAATGCTTATGCCTAAAAAGTATAGACAATGGCTATTATTCCCCACAAACTTTGCTTTTGTGACCAGGACTTTATGTGAACGAAAGATACAAATGCACACGTTTTCTCATAAAAAAAATAGGAAATTTTCAAAATATGACTGTCTTGGTTACAAAAGCAAAGTTTGTGTGGAACAATAGCCATTTTCTGTACTTCTGAGGCGTAAGCAATTAGGAAATAACACTTACTACCCATGAACAAAATGTTTTTTTTTACTGCAGTGTTCTCAACTATTTTGCAGGCGCGTCCTGCCAAGTTTTCTCAATAGAGGGCGACAAATTGCCGTGCTTCACAATTAAGCATCGTTGCACGATGACACCGGAACACAATGGCCTGAATCTTCTCTTTCGTTACGGTTAATACGCCCGAAGTAATAAACCGAGCGGCCTGTCCGAATCGAACCCCGAACCTCTGCAACAACGAGTGGCGAACGAGCCACCGCCGGTGCTTGTCATTGTCCACCGATTCTGAGTTTCTTCAAAGCACACAAAAGTGGTCGGTTCGCGAAGCGGTTTTAGCTTGTCTCCCACCACCACCACCCCCACCACCACCTTCCGTGCCCCGGGCACCGTCACCTTGTCCCGTGCGAGTTTCGCCTGCCGGCCCATCGCGGCCACGTTCATCCCCATGTGGACGAGGGCCTCCCGGCGACTCCGTGGCTCCGTGGGAGAGGGGCTGGCCACGCTCACGAATTCCGACACGGCCGCGCGAAACCACGACCCACGGGCACCTCGGGGCCCTCCGACATCGTCTCCTCCTACATCGTCTCCTCCTACATCATCTCCTCCTACATCGTCTCCTCCTCGACCTGCCGCTCCGTCTGGAGCAGCTCCTCGTCCCAAGGCGAAGAGCGCAGCGGTCACGAGGAGGAGGATGAAGAGTGCGCGGTGGGATTGCCCAGAAGACATCACCGGCGTGCCTCCACGGGTGGGGAAGGCTTCTAGATAGCTGCTCTAAGTTGTATTTGGTCTACTCTTCCACGCGACTCCTTGTTTAACGCTGCAAGGAAGGGACTCGACCGCCACGGGGGAGGGCGTCGCGTCGTGAAGCTCAACGCCACCGGCTTTTATACCCCATTTCTCGAGAGAGATTGAGAGATCTTTATGGCAGCGCTGGGTGATTAGCGGCGTGCGTGTTTCGCGTGTTCCCGACGGCGACGGGGGTCGGTGTCCGAAGGTCATTGTCTGGCCAAAGGTCACGCTCCGTCGTCGTCGCCGCGTGTTGGGTGACGAAACGCAGCCAATAGAAATAGTTATATTTTATTTGTCATGATAATTAGTTCACCTACGATCCCACTGACCTCAGACCTATATCCTCCAAAACCCCCTTCTTCTTTCAAGAATACTGTAGAGTACAAAAAAAGTTGGTAAAAATCAACGACTCTCCTTCATCGATGCCGATAACATTTTGAACTACAACCAATCGTGGTTTAGGTCATGATGCTGCCATTACTAACACCAATCGATTACTTCAACTCAGCTCTTGAATTAAAAATATGCTTTGTGGGACCGTTTTCCTGGACCTTTCCCAAGCAGTCAACTGTGGATCACACTATAACTCTTAAATATCTCTCTCCTCACAACATTCCAAGGTTCAAATCGTATTAATAGAACACAGACATCGTGACACAGCGGCAACATCTCCCCTTTCACTCGTGTTACTAAAGGGGGTTCCTCGAGGATATTTTTGCCATTGGTCCCTTGCTGTTCTCCATCTATGTCAATAACCTTGGTTCACGATATGGCTTGATTCTCACTTGCAGATGTAATTCATCCTGAATTGTTTCATCGAGAGCTCCATGTGACTTTGTGAGTGTTCACCTGTTGTTTGTTCTGCAGGGGGATTATCAGTTGGGAGCCAGTTTCCAGAACATTACTCTAAAAATATTTCCACTATGTCAGCCAGGTTTGTGCATACTGGCTCCCATCCCATACAGATGACCTGGACAATAATTACTGGAATTAAAAGAGCTATAATGTAAAGAATGCTGGATTGCTGCCATTCTACTCGTCAATGTCACCACGAACAGCAATTCATCTACGGTACTTGCAATGGCAAGAAATGACCCCAATAACTTATCCATTGAAATTAAATTACATTTGAGAGTCTGGGTCTTAATTGTTTTTCCCATCAGGACAATTCATCTTTAGCTTACATTTTTCAAAATCATCATCAGCCATTATCAATCCACTAGTGGATGAAGACCCCCCACCCCAAACCATGGCTAAATGCTTTAGGCATTTAAATACTGTACTGAACCAGTGATCCAATAAAAATTATTGTCCATCTAACAAGGCATGTACTCTTTCCTTCTCCCGCACCTCAGATTAGCACGGTTGGCTACGTACGGTGCGAAAAAAAGTTTAACATACAAACTTACTGCATAATATAAACCGGTAAGCTGATGATTTATTTTATGTTCTGACAATTCATTTTTACAGTAAATAGTACATGCCCCATATGGTATAAAATAATTGCAACCCATCTGAAGTCTTGTTTGCCATCAACATTATCATCAAGCTCACAATAAATTCAGGATCCAAGGGGATGAATATCATAAAAGAGAAGTTTAAGCTTTTATTAGTAACATGAAACGACACAAATAATCCTGACGTAGCAAAATAAACGTAAAATCTTGATAAATGAAGTGGACAGCTCAGTGGAATTTGGGTCCGTGACTCGCGGCAGGTTTTCTCAAACCCTTGGGGTCATTGGAGCTCGCGATGTGAAATGTGGCTGTTACGTCATAACGGATTGATAAAACGCAGGTCCGCTGAATCATTGCAGCCACCTCTGTAACAGCCAATCTCAGAATACAAAAGCTTCATCACACGCGACAATCAGATTCTTATGTGATTGGGAAGGTGTTCAGCCAAGTACATTCATACACTTTTTTAAATATAAGGCACCAAAAATAGTTTGTCAGTATTTGTCTGATTTTCAAATTGACATGTTTTTACAGAGCAATCACTTCATAAACCACGAATTTGTTATAAGGAATAAATTACTGTATTTGTATTCGAAGGCACAGAATATAAAAAAATGAATGCTGTCTTTATGCATCAAATGCTCTAACATTGCACGAAATAAATGTACGAGTTCACTAAACATCAGCTCTCTTTGGGGAAAATATAAATGTGACTGTTAACAGGTTTTATTCAAGACGATACAAGTCATAGTAAAATTATAAAAAGCATTTTTTAAATATAAGTTATTCTGATTTTGGAGGAGTTATTTCAAAGAGGTATCGTTGTTTTTAAATCCACTGATCATTTGAAATTTGCCTACTCTAAATTAAATAACACACCTGGCCTGCCCATCTCGACCCATGTGTTTCTATTGACAAAGAGCCTGGTTTGAAAGTCTCTTTCACTGAGATTATACCGGCATGTCAATAATGGCCTAAAAATGGAAACAGACCTCAGTCCAGCTTTATACATCGCAACTAATCAGCAGCAAGACATCATTTACACTCACCTGCACGCACACACACACGCGCACACAATGAAGCCTTACCATCAGTGTTTAAATAAGTGTGATTACACAACACAGGATAAAAACATTGGTTTATATAGTGCATATGTAACTATATACAAAGTTGACCATCTATAAGCAATCTCTGGGAATAAAGTTTACACCATTCTATTTATGCACACGCACGCACGCACACACACACAAGCTCCAGCACCCACACGCGAAAACACACAAAATACAAATGTATGCGCCATAAGCCAACGGATGTTAACATTTCACAGGACTACATCCAAGGTGGGAGGAGAGGCAGGGGATTAATACAAAACACCTCTACGATTAAAATAGAATACTCAAAAGTAGATTTATACATAAGTAGTAAATTGGATGCAGAATGTTCCATTTTACACGAAGGGGGTTTTGTAATGCTATAACGTCGACCCCCCACCCTGGGCAGCCTCAATAACATCCATTATTCCTATAACCTCATACGGTGCACATTCCTGCGCTTCACTTGTCGAAGCCAGTGTTAACATCTCGGTGGCGATCGAGTGAGCACTGGCGTTGCGACTTTCCACACTGCACTCCTCCACCGAATGCTCAATGCTAAGCGCTGTGTCGGGGTCTCAATTTGGACAAGCCCCCACCTCGTATAGAGGTGCCAAAAACCGTGGAATCTGAGGGCTGATTGTGCAGGCAAAGCCCTGTCTGTGTTGCATGCCTCAACTTTATGCCGGCTCCCAGATGTCTGGGAACACAATGGAGTGGAAAAAAACACAAAAGCATTGCATGCAAGGAGGAAAAGCTGCTGGTAAATTCCCGTCTGTCTATTGGGGTGTTTACATTTCCTTTGTCTTGGGCCTCCAAAGCCAAAAACAAATGTAAAATAAAAACCTAAAGCACTGCTGTCATTGCCTCAGAAACGCATACACCTGGAACACAGCTGGGACGCGAGAATCTACCAAACGATCCTGCAGTTTGAATTACAGACCAAATGTCACGGGGCCACCATCAGCACACCAGCTTCTTCTGCATCTCCGGGATGATGGCGTATGCCTCCTCGGCTTGAAAGCAGTTCGTGGCGGCCACAGCATCTGTCGCCTTTTTAGCAAACTCCACGTCCACCTGCCGGCACTGGCCCAACGGGAACGGCGGCACGAGCACGCTGCACTCTCCAGCGGCTGACGGCGACGTCGGCCGTGGCGACAACGCCAGATCCCAGGATGCCGCAACGCAGGCCAAGTCCCGCCCGTGTCCCCGCTGCTCCCGCGCTTGCTCAAGCTCCTCCATTCGCCCGGCGCCATCCACCAGATTTTCCATCCAGCCGGGCAAGACCCCGTGTGCGCACGGCAGCTCCGAGTCATCTTCCGCGTCGGACGCGGCCGTGTCGCACGCAGAGTCCTGCTCCTGCTCCGAGGGGGAGGCGCAGCACGGGACAACACCGGGGTCGCGGTGGTCGTTGTCGTGGTGGTGGGCGACGCGCACCTCGTGAGGCTCCGGTGTGCTGCCGCCGCTCACACCGCTGCCGATGGCCTCGTCGGCATCAAAGCCGATGGCGCTGTCCTCCACCTCGTCGGCCTTGGGCTCAGCGAGGAGGTAGGACGAGTCGTCCTCGCGGGGCCGCGACGGGGTTCCGTCGAGGCAGGTCCCCACCGGCGCCGGCGCACTCAGCCACGGGTGTCTCAGGCAGTGATCCGCCGTGGCTCGTCGACTGTGAGCGCCAAAGTAAAAAATGTCAAGAGTGTCTCCAGCAGCGTAATTGTACGTTATGAATACAATTATTTACTGCCCTTTGCCAATGCACTGTTGGTGAAGGGCCGCCCCCCCCCCCCACGCCGTATCTGTGGTCGGGTTTATTTGAGCATATTTCACCAGGCCAGTCAGCCTGGTGAAAGGGGGGTGGGGGGCCAAGACCAGTTCTGCTGTCACTTGCCACGGATGTTCGCTGTGGCTGGGAATCTAACTCGGTTCACCGGGTTCTTCACGCCACCCCATAAACATATACCGCAGATAAAAAAATGCTATCTCATAATTCAAAATAACCATTGGGGTCGTCGTGGAGAATATAAATATAAAAATTGTTAAGCAGACAATGTCTTTGCATATATATATCTCTCCTGGTGAGACACTGCAATTGTACACTCCTCGAAGGCCCTGGGGCTGATGGCTCGTGTAATAAATACTATACTTTATGTTGAGAAACAGATATATGACGGAGACATTGCCTATCTATATTTTTTATCATCTAAATAAAAATGTATTTCAAATTGACTTCATGCTTATAACAAGCTTGAAGCAGTGCTCATCCCAGTTGGGAGCCCAGAATTCGTGTTTGGAAACACTACATTCCAATTATGGGGGCCAGTCTAATCAGAAGCAACCACTTTTATATTCTCCAAAAGCGGTTCTTGTTCTGATAACCGTAGAGGGAAGACGGGCCGAGTCGACCACCGACCGGAACTTAATTGTGGGGAACAAGCGTCTGGCCTAAAATAGCATTTGGTTTAATAAATAAAAATCTGGTAAATTAAACGCACACCGACGCATTCCTTTTCCTACCACCAGCTTTGCGGTGAAAGTGAGTGTTGCCACCTCGGGGCTAGGGGGGTGTTTCAGGTGACAGCTCCTCCCCAGTTCTGCCCCCCCCTCCACTGCCCCCCAACTCCACCGCCCACCACCCCCCCCATGAT